TCTGGACCTAGATGATTTTCTGAATTACGAGAGAATCAAGTGTTTCCTTGGATCTGTTGGGACTTAAACCCCGCCCACCGGGGGGTCTCACTCAAACTCACTAAGATGCACCTGCCTCTGCCTCCGGAGAGCTCAGATTAAAGGTGCGCGCCACCACACCTAGCCAGAAGGATCTCTTAGTGACTCAAGCGGGGACATCACACGGGCAGGTGGATGTCCCAGGCCGACACTCAGGGGAGCCTGGGTGGGAGCTGGACCTTGTCAGTGACTAAGACGGGGCAGATTTGGAAGCCAGATGGGACTCCCACTGTTGACGGCTCGTGATGGGGTAGGATGTGGGAAGGAACAGTGGGGGCTAGCGCCTGTGTGTAAGTAATGCGCTCACATTTCTGAAGTGCTCACCAAATAATGACATCACTCAGGCCCCAGTGAGACCCAGGGAAGAAAGCCCAGATGTGGCCCAGATGAGGGGATGACTCAGGACTCCAGAGTCAGGCTATCTAACACACCTGTGACCACACGTGTTTACCCTTTTTGTATGGTGGAAACATGTAAGGTCTTTGGGGGTGGTGGCTGGGGTACAGCTTCGGTGGTAGAGCATTTGTCCGGCATGCTTGAGGTCCTGGGTTCAACCTCCAGAACTGACAAAAACTATTGTTGTTCTTCTTGCTGTTTTCAGACAGCCTCACATACTCCAGTCTGGGCTGGAAGTTGAAATGTAGCCCAATAACCAAAACAAAAAACAAAAAACAAAGCCGGGCGTTGGTGGCGCACGCCTTTAATCCCAGCACTCGGGAGGCAGAGGCAGGCGATCTCTGTAAGTTCGAGACCAGCCTGGACTACCAAGCGAGTTCCAGGACAGCCTCCAAAACCACAGAGAAACCCTGTCTCGAAAAACCAAAAAAAAAAAAAAAAAAAAAAAAAAAAAGAAATGTAGCCCAAACTGACCTTGAACTTCTATCTGCTTGTCTCTACCTCCCAAGTGCTGGGATCTCAGGCTTACGCCAACACAACTCACCCTTTCGGCTGCTGGGAAGTATGCGATACGTTATTAATTACATTTTCCCGCCATCCAACCGAGACTGTGTGCCCTGCCCCGTTCCCCATCCCCCATGTGCCCTCGCCTAGAACGTTCTAATCGCTCCCATTCATTTGGTTCCCACAGTCCGCCTCTTCCTCCTCCTCCCCCTCCTCCAGTCTAGACTTAATTCAATGCCGTGTCCAGAGCTGGCCACAATGCACCACATGCCACCACCTGCAGTCATGGCAGTGTGGAGCGGCTTTTCGGGGGTGGGAGCCGTGGGACGCAGGACCTCCTGTCCAGTGCACTGGGGTGAGGCGAGGCACCTGGGCCGTCGCAGCTGGCCAGCTCCGGGGCCCTGGGCTCCGCCCATTCACCCCACATCTTTCTCACCCGCCCCTCACCCCCAGAGTTCACCCAGACCTGATGAGAAAGCGATCACTCACCCCCCACCCCCTCCACCCATGTAGCACATTAGCTATGTATTTGTCTTTCTGCCCGCCTGCAGCAAGGCGTGGTCAGTTTGTCCCGTTGCCTGATAGGCATGAACACTGGAGGCTGCAGTTGGTTCCTTACCAGGCTGGCTGTGGTAGCACCCACCCATTACCCCAGCAGAGGGGGCAGAGGCAGGAGGATTGTAACCCGTGTGAGGGCAGCTCGGGCTCTATACTGAGTTCCAGACCAGCCAGGGCTGCATAATAGGCTGCATCTCACAAAAAGGAAAGCAGAGAGGGCTGGTCTCTTCCCTTTTCAGCTTCGGTGGGGTATGCTAACCCTCCCAGCTGCTCAGAGGATAAAGCAATTGACTTAGGAACTGTGCTGGGTGGGTGGAGGGGGGGGCGGCTCCAGCATCTCTCAACTTCACCATTTGACGCTGGGGTAGCACTCCCCCAAGTGGTCAAAGAGAGTCACGCGGCCTCCCTGAACTGTGGACAGGAGGCCCCTCCTACTGGCCATGCCCAGGCCTGTGCTGACACACTAGAGTCTCTGACTCCTTCCCTCAGCAGATAGAGGGAAGACCTCTGTAGGCACGGGTGCCTCTCTGGGTGAGGATAACGTGAACAGTGCTGTGATTCCGGCGGTCCGGCGGGACAGAAAAGATTGTGGTGTGATTAATGTAGTGACAAGTGGCCGCTCTGCGGAAGAGCATCCGAGGGAGACTTGAATGCGGTGGGTGGGGTGCTCCTGGCCGGAATCGCAAAGGCCTTGGGGGTTGTTTTCGGGGTCGAGTGACAAGGGGGAGTTGGTGTGGAGAGGTCAGGAAAGCCATGGGGAGAGTTAGGCTGCGGCAGTGTTTGGAGTCTACCACGTGTGGGATTGAAAGATGGTGACGGCTGGGTGGGTTGTGAAAATGCCCGGCTTTCCGTTGGTGGTGGCATCATTGTAGCCTGTTCGCCGTGTTCAGAGCAGAAGGAAAAGCCTCAGCCCCAGCCAGAGGGAGGGAAACAGCTACGTTTTCCCAGCCAAATTCATGGCTTCCCTCCCAGATGACTGTGGATGTTTGCTCTCTGTCTTTTTAATTTAAAGAAGAAGTTTATAGATTTGTCTATTTCATGTGAATGACTGTTACATGTATGTCTGTGCTCCATGTGCATGCCTGGTGCCCGTGGGTGAGAGGAGAGGGCATCAGATCCCCTGGAACTGGAGTTACAGATGGTTGGGAGCCGCCGTGTGGGTGCTGGGAATTGAACCCAGGTCCTCTGGAAGAGCAGTCAGTGCTCTTAACCCCTGAGCCATCTCTCCAGCCCCAGACCCCTCTTTAAATAAATTAAAATTTTTTCATCACTGTTTTGCATTTTCCCAAAAACTTTTGTGGAAATAAAAAAATTTTTACAAAATTTACATCAGGGGGCTGGAGAGATGGCTCAGAGGTTAAGAGCACTGGCTGCTCTTCCAGGGGTCCTGAGTTCAATTCCCAGCAACCACATGGTGGCTCATAACCATCTACAATTCAATCTGGTGCCCTCTTCTGGCATGTAGGCAGAACACTATGCATGTGATGAATAAATAAATCTTTTAAAAAATGTACATCAGGTCACACCAATACCCCCCAAAAGGTCATGTAAGTAGAAGGGGTCAGCAGGGGTGGGAGAGGACAGGAGAGAGTAACAAGGCGAAGACGCCTGAAATGCTTTAGGTACAGTAGGAAATGCCATCATGAAACCCAAGTCCTATACAGTTAGTACATGCTGACAACAGTGGGGCCATCGGGTGGTTCAGCACACAGACGGAGCTCCTTGCTGAGTCTGGTTCAGATCCCAGCATTCATTTAATGAGCCACGGTCGCCCGGGGCCTCCCGTGTTGTGTGACCTCTGAGGGACCTGACTCCTGCGTGTGTCTCCTCCACGTGTACACACCCACACACGTGTATATACATGTGTACACACACACACGTGTGGCTTGAGGATGTGTGCACACCCACACACATACATGTGAGACATGGTCATTCTCACTTACATAGCGAATTCCAAGCCAACCCGAGCTCTGGGAGACCTCGGCTTAGAAAAAGAAAATCCCAGAAGCCTGTTGCTGTCAGATGGACTCCGGTTGCTCGGAGGAACCTCAATTGCGAATGTGCCAATGGTATACACGTGGAGGTCGGAGGTGGGTCCTGGGGATCCATTGTCAGGAGAGGCAGCAAACACTTCTACCCACTGAGCCGTCTTGCCAGCACACCCTTTCTGTTTGTTCACTGCAGTGTTTGGCTGTCACTGGTCTCACACACATCAGGCAAATTCTCTACTCTGTCACGCCCATAGCCCCTCACTGGGGGATTCTAGGCAGGGGCTCTACCACTGAGCCACGCCCACAGCCCCTCACTGGGGGATTCTAGGCAGGGGCTCTACCACTGAGCCACGCCCCAGCCCCTCACTGGGGAATTCTAGGCAGGTGTAAAACTTTCAGCCCTTTTCTTTTTTTCTTTCTCTCTCTCTTTCTTTCTTTCTTTCTTTTTGTGGCTGGAGAGACAGCCGTAGGTTCTGGGAACCGAACTCTTACATTTTTTATTGTGAGCCTAGCCTTAACAGCTGAGCCATCTCTCCAGCCCCAGCCCTTTTCTTTTTATAAGATTTTATTTTTGAGCTGGAAAGTGGTAGCACACATCTTTAATCCCAGCACTTAGGATGCAGAGGCAGGCAGATCTCTGTGAATTTGATGCCAGCCTGTCTGTAGAACAAGTTCTAGCACCACTAGGGCTTTCATACAGAAAAACTGTGTCTTGAAAAACCAAAACAAATTAAACAAAAAAACATTTAATTTTTGTTATTTTTATTTATGTGCACATGTGTAGCTGTGTATGTCACATTTGTGGTTGCCCATGGAAGCCAAAAGAGGGTATTGGCTTCTCCAGACCTGGAATTACAGGTGTTTGTGAGATGCCAGGTGTCTATGCTGGGATTTGAACCCAGGTCCTCTGGAAGAGCAGTCATTCCTCTTAACTACTAAGTCATCTTTCCATACTCACCCCTTCCCCTTTAAACATTTAACTGTAGGCAGGCACCACCACTCCTGCCTGAGTTTTCCTTTTTAGGTTTGCTGTATTTGGGTTTTGTTGTTGTTTTGTTTTTGGAAACAGAATCTCAGTATGTAGACCTGTCTGTCCTGGAACTCGCTCTGTAGATAAGTCTGGACTCAAACTCACAGAGATCCGTCTGTCTCTGCCTCCCGAGTGCTGGGATTAAAGGTGTACGCCACCAACGCCCGGCTGAATTTTCCCTTTTTAATGATGCTATCAACCATAATGCACTGGAACCCGCTTTCATGGCCGTGTTTTAACTTGATCATCTGCAAAGACCCTATCTGCAAATAAACTGACACTCTGAAGTCTTTCTTCAACCTGAATTAGTGCCGAAGCTTTTCTCCAAGTGTCCATACCAGCGAATACACCTGCTATTTGCTGGAGCGCGTTAGAGATAATTCCAGACATCATACCACAATGCCTTGGGAGCATTTTAAAGTGAGAAGAAAGACTTAGCCTGGTTTACATTTTTAAACAAGTCTATTCGTTCTGTGGGAATGTGAGGCAAGGCAAATATTTCACCAGGAACACAGAGACAAAGAGCAAACCCTCCCGGGGCAGCATGGGAGGAAGGGGCTTCCAGGCGCCCCTCGGTCAGTGAGCCGTTCCAAGTTCGACAGACCACAGCTTGCCGTACCACATGACTCCCGGCTTCCGTGGGGGCTGGCATGCTGCTGAAGGGGGAGACCAAGCCAGGATTCAGCCTGTGTTTCTGTCTGTTCGTCCCCTCTCTGCCAGGACATACAGCAACTCCTCCAGCTCCAACAGCTGGTGCTTGTCCCGGGCCACCACCTGCAGCCTCCTGCGCAGTTCCTGCTGCCCCAGGCCCAGCAGAGTCAGCCAGGTGAGGTCCCAGCCCAGCTGACGCTCTCCCGCGTGGCCCCAGTCCCAGTCACCTGCCCTCGCCCACTCACCTCCCGCCTTCCTGTCTCCCCAGGCCTGCTGCCGACGCCAAATCTATTCCAGCTACCTCAGCAAACCCAGGGAGCTCTCCTGACCTCCCAGCCCCGGGCTGCGCTTCCTACACAGGTGACTGTCCACAGAGTTTGTCAAGCCTCCGGCATCCGAGTGAGGCGCGAGCGAGGGCTGAGTGGGTGGGGTGGGGGTGGAGCCTGTAAAAGTCTCTGCTCTCCGGGGCCCACCCCACATCCTAGAGCGGTTGAGGGACCTGAGGCCCCGCCCTACTCTGCCACCCACTTGCTGTGTAGGAACTGGGGTAAGCCCTGCCCAGGTCAGCTCCAGCCTTCCTAGAATGAAGGGAAGCGAAGCAGGTAACAAAGCCTTGACTCCGAAAAATCTCATGAAATATTGTGTCAGAGGCCGGGGAGGTGGCTCGGTTGGTAAAGTGTCCTCAGGAACCAGGCTAAAGGCTGAGCATGGTCGCAATTTCATTCTCGGGGGCATGGAGGTTTATGACAGGTGGCTCCTCGGCCAGCCATCCTGGCCAAATCAATAACTTTCAGGTTCATTGAGAGACCCTGTCTCAAAAAGAAAAGAGAAAGAAAACAAAAAAAGTAGCCTTAAGCAGCTGAGGAGAAACACCTGCCTGATGTAGACTTCAGCCCTCCACACGTACAGCTACATAGGTGCACACATACGCTCCCAGGGTCTCACGAACACATGCTCCCACGGACTCACGATCACATGCTCACAGGGACTCACGATCACATGCTCACACGGCCTCACGATCACATGCTCACACGGTCTCACGAACACATGCTCCCACAGTGTCACGAACACATGCTCCCACGGACTCACGATCACATGCTCCCAGGGTCTCACGAACACATGCTCACACGGCCTCATGAACACATGCTCCCACGGACTCACGATCACATGCTCACACGGCCTCACGAACACATGCTCACAGGGACTCACGAACACATGCTCACACGGCCTCACGAACACATGCTCACAGGCACACATGCTCTCCCAAGCACTGACATACATGCTCGCACACACTCACATGCACAGGTGCACATCTGCACACACACACATGTATTTGTGAACTCTGTCAGAAGGACTGAGAAGTCCACAGGCCAACACAGGTCTTGGCTGCTAAATTCCAAATGCCCTGAAAGGCTAGGTGTCCTTGTGACAACAGCGTCAGAAAACCCGTCTGGCTGTAAATGCTGTCTCGACTGCTGTGGGGAGGCATCCTTGTCCCCCTGGGATGACAGTCTGCTACCAGAGTGCTGATGTGTCCTAAATGGATGTCTTGAACTCAGCAGGGGGCTCACATCAGCATGGCTTCCCAGACACGCCCGCCCCAGAATTGTAGACCATCAAAGATCCTTGGGACAGACATCCCTGTGCCAACCACCTGCTTCCCGTCTTTCTTTTTTTTTTTTTTTCCTTTTGGTTTTTCAAGGCAGGGTTTCTCTGTATTGTTTTGGAGGCTGTCCTGGAACTTGCTCTGTAGACCAGGCTGGCCTCAAAGTCACAGAGATCCACCTGCCTCTGCCTCCCGAGTGCTGGGATTAAAGGCGTGCTCCACCAACGCCCGGCTGTCCATCCTCTAATTGTCCTCCTTTTTTGTTTCTGTACTTTTCCCTCTCTGCAAACTATCCATTTTAAGACTTTGTTTTATTTTATTTATATTTGGTATTAAAGAGGTCAACCCAGGATTTTGAGTATGCCAGGCAAGGGCTCTACCACTGAGCCACACCCCAACTCTTCACTGTGGGATTTTAGGCAGGGGTTCTACCCCTGAGCCACACCCCTGGCCCCTTACTGGGAGATTCTAGGCAGGGGCTCTACCACTGAATTAAATCCCCAGCCCTCTTTTCACATTTTATTTTGAGATGTTCCTCTGGCTGGCATTGAACTCACTCTGTCGCCCAAGCTGACCTTAAAGTTAGAAGCCTCCTGTCTGTTCTCCTGAGCAGCTGTACGCGTGCAGCTCTAAATGCACAGTGAAGCTGAGCTCGAGATAGATCCCATCCTCCGCGTGTACCGCCTCCCCATCTCCAGCATCCTCACCAGACAGTATTCATTTGTAGTCCAGGCAGCCACACAGCATTGCCGCATCTACAGACTGAACCTCAGACGTCACCCTATACCTATGCAGGACGGGGTTGGACAACTTGCTAATAAGTAACCTTAATCCCCTAACAATTCAGTGGGCAGGCAGAGTCAGTGATGGCTTCCATTCTACGGAAGGGAATGTGGGCCCAGGGAGGGTTAAGACTAAGACTGAGCTACCCCAAAAGGTCAGTGGCAGACGATAATGGAGGGGGAACCCCCTGCCCCCAGCTCTGGGCTTTGAGCCCAAGGAGCCATCAGCGAAAGACTGCCTCCTCCTTCCGGGAGTTCGGGTCTCTAAGGGAAGATGAAAAGTTCTGGTCATTGAGAGCCCCATGGCTGGTGGCAGAGCGAGAAACATTTGCAGGATTAGCAATTGGTGTGGGTGTCCTGGGCAGGTGAGGGGAGTCTGAAGAGAGCAGGCACACACCCACTGCTTAGGCACATCCGGGTCCTCCTTCCCGCATCCCATCCGCCTGCCCACCCCACCAGGCTGTGACTCGCCCCATGCTGCCCGACTCGCACCTCTCACACCCGCAGCCCCCAAAATGCTTGGAGCCGCCATCCCACCCGGAGGAGCCGAGTGACCTGGAGGAACTGGAACAATTCGCTCGCACCTTCAAGCAACGCCGCATCAAGCTGGGCTTCACACAGGTCTGGGACCACCTTATGGGGTGGCGGTGGGGGTGCGGGGGTGACGGAACAAAGACGCAGGGGTCGTGGTCAGTTGATGGAGTGTTTGGATCTGGCCTTGGACCAGGAGACCCCGCCTTGACTTCCAAAACCCCACCTCCTCCTCTCTGGACCAGGGTGATGTCGGCCTGGCCATGGGCAAGCTCTATGGCAACGACTTCAGCCAGACGACCATTTCCCGCTTCGAGGCCCTGAACCTGAGCTTCAAGAATATGTGCAAACTCAAGCCCCTCCTGGAGAAGTGGCTCAATGACGCAGGTGAGCCTGGCCAAGCGCGCACACGGGGCACTGGTGTCGGGGCAGGGCGGAGAGAGATCACCACTCACATCCCTGCCTTCTGTCTTCGCAGAAACCATGTCTGTGGACTCAAGCCTACCCAGCCCCAACCAGCTGAGCAGCCCCAGCCTGGGTTTCGACGGGCTGCCGGGGCGGAGACGCAAGAAGAGAACCAGCATTGAGACGAATGTCCGCTTCGCCTTAGAGAAGAGTTTTCTAGCGGTGAGCTTCGCCCCCTGGCGACCGGGAAGGGTATCGGGCGGATGGACCCAGCTCAACAGCCCTCTCTCTCCCTGCCTGTAGAACCAGAAGCCTACCTCAGAGGAGATCCTGCTGATCGCGGAGCAGCTGCACATGGAGAAGGAGGTGATCCGCGTCTGGTTCTGCAACCGGCGCCAGAAGGAGAAACGCATCAACCCCTGCAGCGCGGCCCCCATGCTGCCCAGCCCGGGAAAGCCGACCAGCTACAGCCCTCACCTGGTACCCAGAGCTGGGGGCGGGGGGCGCTAGGTGTGGGGTGGGGGTCAGGGACCGTAGGCATCTGGGTAAAGCAGACTCACCTAGAAGAGAGACCAGAGGAGTCGGTTCTGGGAACAGGAGGTCCCATACCGAGCACAGTCACAGAGGGACACAGTTTCCAGGAAAACGTGTCAGCCACTGAGTGGAGGTCGGAAAACAACTCTTGAGAGTTCCTTCTCTCCCTGCACCACGAAATTTCCGGGGATCTAACTCAGGTCATCGGGCTTGGCAGCAAGTGACTTTACATACTAAGCCCCCCCCCAGGCCCAAACTGTGGTCTTACGTGGTAGGCACAGGCTCCCGCGTGTACACTGACGTTACCATGAGGGAGGGCTACATCACGGGTTCCCACCCACAGACAGGAAGAGCCATCCTCAGACCCGGGAGGTACCTGCAGCATCACAGCCACACATGGGTCCACTTAGTTATCAGACACACCTGGGACACCCTTTATTCCGTCCCTCTATTTCTGTGTGAAAAAGGCTGTGGTATCCAGAGAAGCCCCTCGACTCTAGGGCTGGGGAGGAAGGAGTTAGCCAGCCACGAGGAGGAGGACTGCCCAGAAGGTCACGTGCTGCCAGGTCCAGCATGCACACAGGCGCAGATGCCAAGACATGCTGGATCCCAGTACAAGGCATCGTGGGTGGCGGGAGCTACTGGGACTGGGGTTGGGGTGGAGCTCCGGCAGGGGCGGATGCCTCTTTACCAGGGATCTGCATCAGGTTAGTAAGCGGTTTTGAGTGGAAGACAGACATGGTCAAATCATTTAGGGCTGAAGGGCTCATCAGCCCTTTCATTTGGGGTGGGGGCGGGGGCGGGGGCTCTGAAGTCCTGATCCTCCTGCCTCTTCCCTGCTGAGTGCATTCAATTTCAACTGGTTTTTTTTTTTCCTTTTGAGACAGGATTTCATGACATGTAGTCCAGGCTAGACTGAAACTTACTATGTAATCCAGGCTTGTCAGATTCTCTTGCAAAGACAGGTGTGTTCCCTCTAGGAGAGCCAACAGCAGCAGCAGACAGAGCGGTTGTCCGGGCACAGTCACCCAAGACAGGACCCAGCTCTGCAGGGACATTAGCTGGATAGTGTCAGAGGAGAAGGGGGGGGGCTCTCAGCTGAGAGTTACTGCACCTCCTGCTTGTGGCACATGTGGGGAGGACGATGGGAAAATGAGTGATAGGGTCTAAATGTAGTGCTGCCCCCGGGGCCCTGTTGCCCCACCCTGTGGAGGGTCAGTGGGAGTCGTGTGCACAGGGAACACGGTGGGAGGGTATCTTGTGACAGGGTCTTACCGTCCTTCCTTTTCTCTCTCCCCAGGTCACGCCCCAAGGGGGCGCAGGGACCTTACCGTTGTCCCAAGCTTCTAGCAGCCTGAGCACAACAGGTGGGCCGGCTGCGAGCGAGATGGGGGCGGGGCAGGGACACACTGCAGGGACCACGGCCTGAGGGTTAGCGGAAGCTCTGGGCGGGGCCCCCAAGGCTGAGTCTTGGGTGGTGTGGGGACAGACCGAGCAGCAGGCAGGCCCCTCATCGTCCACCTGAGCAGCCTCTAGTCAGCACCACGGTTCCGGGAGAAAGCGTGGAGGGTGCCAGAAGGGAACGCACTTGAGTCTCTGTCGCTGGTATGTGTTGCGTATACGCCCCGAGAGTCCGGGAACCTGTTTCAGTTCTCTGAGCTTCAGGGTTTGTAGGATGAGTGCCATGAGTGTTTAATATGCACACACACTCTGGAAAGATCGTGATGGACCTTGTTTAATGTGCATAGACCTCTGGGGTCCATCTCCAATCTCATTCTTTTTTTCCTTTCTGGTTTTTGAGACAGGGTTTCTCTGTGTAGCCCTGGCTGTCCTGGAACTCACTCTGTAGACCAGGCTGGCCTCCAACTCAGAGATCCACCTGCCTCTGACTCCTGAGTGCTGGGATTACAGGCGTGCGCCACCAACGTCTGGCCAATTTTTTAATAACACAAAGCAAACACTATTACTGTTAAGAAATAGTAAGTGGGGGAATATAAACTAATAGAAAGAACTGGTACTCACTGGTTTGGGTTCTTTTTTTTTTTTTTTTTGGTTTTTCGAGACAGGGTTTCTCTGTATTGTTTTGGAGGCTGTCGGTCCAGCCTGTCCTCGAACTCACAGAGATCCGCCTGCCTCTGCCTCCCGAGTGCTGGGATTAAAGGTGTGCGCCACCACCGCCCCGCTCTGGTTCAGGTTCTTTATGCAATATAATCTCACAGCCGGCTCGTGAGACTGGTCCCATTGGGGTGCTCACCATGGGACACAGCTGGGAGTAACCGTGGGATCTGCCCTAGCTGGGGCAGCTGGTCCTCAGTGGCCCACTCCCGACCTCCCAGCAGCACAGAAGTAGTGGGGGGCTCATCTGTGGCCCGTCTCCTGGCCAACCCACTTCTTGTCTGTGTTGGGGTGTTTGGGGCATGGTTTGCAGACAGCCAGGGGCCGGCGACTACTGTGATGTCTGTCATGGGGTGGAGGGCATAAGGACTCCGAGGAGGGGTTTGGGGCAATGTGCTGTTCTGACTGAGGAGCTTCTGGGTGTGCAGTAGGGGTTGGCCCTGACTTCCTTGACGAGGGAACAGAGGAAGCTGAAGACTGCTTTGTGTCTCTCTCCGCCAGTTACTACCTTATCCTCAGCTGTGGGGACGCTCCACCCCAGCCGGACAGCAGGAGGGGGTGGGGGCGGGGGCGGAGCCGCGCCCCCCCTCAATTCCATCCCCTCTGTCACTCCCCCGCCCCCGGCCACCACCAACAGCACAAACCCGAGCCCTCAAGGCAGCCACTCGGCTATCGGCTTGTCGGGCCTGAACCCCAGCACGGGGTAAGTGTGCCTGACTACAGGTGGGGGGCGGGGCTTGGCTGCTCGCTGGGTGGGGAAATGCACCCGGTCCCGCCCTGGGCTCCGGTCCCGCCCTGGGCTCCGGTCCCTGCTAATGCCTCCGCTTTGCTCTTGCAGAAGCACAATGGTGGGGTTGAGCTCTGGGCTGAGTCCAGCCCTCATGGGCAATAACCCTTTGGCCACTATCCAAGGTGCGTGCAGCCTCAGGTCACCCCTTCGCCACCAGCCCCTCCCCCCTCCTGGGCCTCGAGCGCCCTCATCGCTACCCCAGCCATGCCACCCGCCCTGCTCACTGCATTGCCTGCCTCTTCATCCGCATCCGTCTCTGGGGAAGGTGTGAGGGGTGCTGACTGACGGGGGGGGGGTCCGTGGGGCAGGCGGGAGGTCAGGAGCCCTCAGGCGGGGCACAAGGAGGTGGCATCTGCACAGCCTGGCTCGTCCCCAGCTCAGCCTCTTCTCTCCTCACCAGCCCTGGCCTCTGGTGGAACCCTGCCCCTTACCAGCCTTGACGGCAGCGGGAACCTGGTGCTGGGGGCAGCCGGTGCGGCCCCGGGGAGCCCCGGCCTGGTGACCTCGCCTCTCTTCCTGAACCACGCTGGGCTGCCCCTGCTCAGTGCGCCGCCCGGCGTGGGCCTGGTGTCGGCAGCAGCTGCAGCCGTGGCGGCGTCCATCTCCAGCAAATCTCCCGGCCTCTCCTCGTCGTCGTCCTCATCCTCCGCTTGCAGTGAAGTGGCAGCACAGACCCCTGGAGGCCCGGGGGGACCCGAGGCAGGGTCCAAGGCCGAGTGAGAGCCCACCATGCCTCCCCTCCTACTCCTCTGACTCCCCCGACCTCGGTCCCCTGCCCAGAAGGGGGCAAGGAGGCTAGTGGGGGGGCGCAGTGGATCCTGGGAGCAGGAGTGACAAAGGAGGGAAGACCAAAAATCAACCAAAAAAAAAAAAAAAAAAGGAACCAACAAAAGAGAAAACCAAAAATATTCACAACAGAACCAGCTGCCCTAAAGGAACCAGAGACGAAAAACAAATGAACAGAAAACACCCCAAAACCAACCAAACACCCCCCTCCCCAAATCAAACAAACCAAAAACCAGTTGCGAGCCAGATCTTGGCGTGCTCACTGCTACGACACCAAATAAGAACCCTCAGCCAGGAGCGAGCAGCCTCCAGCAGGTCGGACCTCACGCCGCTGAGCCCTGGCTGTGGGCCAACTCCTAACCTTACCCCCGCTGGGGGCGAGCAGAGAAGGAACTAGTGACTGCCGGCTTGCTGGCCCAGCCCCAGCCCTGGGCCAAAGGAGACAGGGCATTGCCTGGGGCAGGAGGCCCAGGGCCCAGAGCCGCCTGCCAAATGGTCTTTTCCAGAAGGCGTAAGAGAAAGGACCGAACAACCTTACACCAAATATTCAGTAGCTTCACCCAAAGGATGTACAGAATTTTTAGCGTTGTGCTCAACAGAATGTGTCCCTTCCGTGTGTCCCTCCCCCTCCCCCAGCTCTCCCCGACAGGGCAGGGGGTCTTGCTTTAATCCCCCCACCCCCAGCCTGGGGAGAGTTCAGAGGAACTGGGTATGGGCTTTTTGTTCCCTGTACCTCCCCTCCATTTGAAGGGTGGGCTAGGCCTTTTTTTTCTTCTTTTTTCTTTTTGCCAAGTTCGACTCTGAGGAGCCCCTCCTCAGCTCCATCACCCTCTGCTCTGGAGTCTGCCTCCTCCCCTCTATGGGAAGGTGGTAGTTTCAAGCGAGGAGGCGAGGGCATCCAAGTTGTCTTTCTTTCCATCCTGTCTGTCAGTTTCCCTGAAAAAAAAATCATATTCCAGTGCCTATCCGTGGGATCCTTCACGTTCTTTAACATTAACCAGAAACCAAAAAGATTAACTCGCCTCACTCTGCCCACCCTAAGCCCCTTCCCGCACTGGCAGATACCTCTCCCCTCCCTCCCCATCCCCCAATGCACACACGCACACACCTCAGTGGTGGGCTTCCCCCGGAGGGCATCTCCATCAGGGTCCACGAGGTGGTGGCATTGCCAAGACCTGTGGCTCCCCATGCCAGAGGGCAGGCACTGTGGTGGCCACCACTCCCAGGAGACCTCCACAAGTCTCGGCTGGACCTTGCATTTGCCTATCCCTGGACGCATCTCAACGGTGGACAGAGGAGATGCCACTGGGAGCCACCCTGCCCTCCTTCTGTCGTGGAGGCCAACCAAGTTTTGAACCAAAAAAGAAACCAAAACAACAAAAACAGAAAACCAAACAAACAATAAATTAAAACTAGAAAAAAAGAATTTATAGATATATATAGATATATATATATGGGAAAGAAGACTAGGACTCTTCAAAGCAAGATGGAGCCTCGCGCTGGAGCCAAGCCCTGCACAGTGGTCCAGGCCTTTGGTCTCCAGGGCGGATGGAACGATGGATACTTCTTTCTCTTCACAAATACCTCATGGACGTCGTCTTCGGAAAGCCGGAGTGTGGAGGGGGGGCAGCTGGGGCGGGGCCTGTCCCTCAGCGGGTGGGTGGGGCTGAGAGAGGGTGTCAGGGACCAGGGTGAAGAGCCCCAAGCTCCCTCCCCACCAATCACCTGAAAGCTTTAAAAGGAAAGGGGAAAAGCAAAAAGGATGGACAAAGGAAAACCAACTGTTGGGTAGTTTGATTCCCTCTTGATCTGTTCCTACTCTCTCTCTCTCTCTCTCTGTCTCTCTGTCTCTCTGTCTCTGTCTCTCTCTCTGTCTCTGTCTCTCTCTCTCTGTCTCTCTCTCTGTCTCTGTCTCTCTGTCTCTCTGTCTCTCTGTCTCTCTCTCTGTCTCTCTTTGTCTCTCTCTCTCTCTGTCTCTCTCTCTCTGTCTCTCTCTGTCTCTCTGTCTCTCTCTCTGCCTGTCTCTCTCTCTCTGTCTCTCTGTCTGTCTGTCTCTCTCTCTCTGTCTCTCTCTCTTTCCCTCCCTCCCCCCCCCCCCCTTATTTTTTCTGTCACATCTCTTGATATCCTTCTTTCTGTATCCTCAAACCAAAGTGTTGCTGTGAAGGACGCGAGCCATTGAAATCAGAGTGACCCCTGTCCCCGGCCGGGCAGGGGCAGAGGGGAGAGCTGGGCAATGGCCCGGGCGCCCTCCCCTTCCATCCCGGACACTCCGAGGAGAGGCAGCCAGAGTCCCCGGGGCTCAGCGTTCTCTTTTCTTCTGGTCCCTTCTCCCGCACAGAAGCAGAACTGTCAGGCTGGGCCCCAAAGGCAGCGGAGACTCCTGGCGAATGTGGGGCCTTGGGTGCCTGGCCCGACCCTGGTGGAGTGTCTGCCCCTTCCGCCGGGCACCAATGGGGCCTCTTCCACCCACCGGAATGTAAGCAGCTGAACCGACTCCCTGCCCTCACCCTACCTCTGAGTTTGTCCATTATAATTTCCTGAAAAATGGCTAGCAAGAGGGTCTGGACGGACCCCAGCCCACGTGGAGAGGGGGCCGAGGGCTCCTGATAGGAAGACATTTGAACAGAGCAGAATGAAGGAATTGCAACCAACCAACTCCCCCCCCCCCACCCAAAAAAACCCCTCTGAGAAGACAGGCAACATGGAAGGCATGGCGGAGATGACTCAAACAAAAACTATGATTCTAGACCAAAAAAGAAGAAAAGAAAAGATCCAGGACTCACCACCACCCAACTCATCCTGTTTCTTCCCCATCGAGTCTCTATCTGGGACCTCTCCCTGCGGAAAGGGAAGAGGACGCAGGGGGCAGGGATGGGCAAATGCCCAGATACTGGTGGAGGGGACCCCCCACGCAGCTGGGGAGGGTGGAGACCCTCCCCATCCAACCCCCACACTGGGAAATGAAAACACAAGAAAAAAATTCCTGGGAGGGGGAAAAAATAACCAAATCCCAAGCTTTAACTACAGCTGTGAAACCAAATATTGGGAAGGGGGAGGGAGGGTGGGAGGGAGGGGCAGGTGAGCCCCAGGTCTCCCCCCTACCCCTCCCCTGAGGACTCGAGATAAGGCACCAAATACCTCATAGAACTTTAATGTTAAAAAAAAAAAAAGAAACCAAATATCGTTGGCTGGGGGCCAGCCAGGGCAAGGGGCTGGGGACTCGAGGGAGCCAGGTTTGGGAAGGTGGGAGGGACTTCCAGCCCCTCCCACGCCCACCCATCCTCCCACTCCAGTTACCCCAGCCTCGACTCCGGGAAACAAAACTATCTCATCGTTTTTATTTTGTGGTCTGTACAGAGCCTATGTCCGTGTGTCTGTGTGTGCGCGCGTGAGCGAGTTGGCGGGCTGGGGAGCTTTGTATGGGGTAGGGGAGGGAGACCCTGCACCAGCTTAGATGTCAGATGGTGGGCCAGGGGCCTGGCCCAGAGGGAGAGCTGAGTGGGCTGGGGTAAGACAGGCTCTGGACTCCCCTTCTCCCAGCCCTGACCCCTTGCTGAAGGGAGGAGCAGAGACTGGTCTGCCCTGACGGTGGGCCATTTGTGCCAAAAATAAATAAATAATGCCAGTAACTAAGCCACCTGTATGTTCCCTTCTGGGGGGGCAGGGTAGGGACCAGAAGTGGGAGGAAGGGGCTGGATGTATGTGTAGGGGTGGGTGAGGGATGGATGGGGTTCCCGAGCCCCTTTAGAAATGGGGCTAAGACAAGGAGGGGTCTTACACATCCTTCCGGAAGACCAAGAGGGTCTCCAAGACCTTCCCCCTGGGGAGTTCCAGCCAGGAACTAGTCAAGTCATGGGGGTGACCTCTTGGCCTGACTGGTTTTTCTTCTCCAGCCCATTCCCAGGGTGCCTCTCTCTCCCTCTCA